AGTTGTAACTTGAGACATTTGTTTTAGTTTTACAATTATGGACTTTTGAATTATGATCTTTGCTTTGCCTTATATTGTTTTGGTCACTTATTGTTTGATATAGTATATCATAATTCGCAGGTTATATTTTATTTGTTTATCTTTGTTATTTTCAATTTCAAATTACTTTAAAATTACATATTTATATTTATTTATAGTTTGAGAGATAAAATGGATTGTTTGGTATCATGTATCATAATGAATGAGTTATATCTTAAATGTTTAGCTTCATTATATTTAATTTCAAGTTATTTTGAGATTACATATTTCTATTTATTCCCAGGTCCAAAAAAGTGATACTTGATTGATATAATATATCATAATTTGCAGGTTATATTTTAAATCTTTAGCTTCATTAATCATTATTTTCAATTTCTTTTTATTTTGACTTTACATTATTTTTCGTGGCTTGCCTTGAAGGCTTGTAGCTTGCTGGTTTGTTTACAGGCCCAAAAAAAAAAGATTGGATTGGACCAAACTAAAAGAGGACGCCCAAAAAAAAAAAACCATTGGACTAGACCAAGTGGACTGGACCAAGAACCCGGTCCAGTCCAATTCAGTCTACCCAACCCGGTGGACAACGGGTTCTGCGCCGGGTTGGGCCGGTCTTCGGGCTGGAATGACCAGCCCGAAGACCTCACCAGACTAGACCATGGGCTAATGACCTACCCGACCCGGTCTGGTTGATGTACAGCCCTAGCTTGAATGCCCAAAATACATGACGGAACATTTCAACTAGTTGACCATTTACATCGACTTGAGAATACCGTTTATTTGAAAATTGTACGCATGACCCAGGCATAAAATGTTGAACTGTAGCTAACCACCTTAGGAGTAAGGAATATGAGGTCTCCCAATTCCCAAAAGCAATGGCAACTACTAATTGTTTTGCCTTCCATGCTTTCTTATATGACAAAGTATAACTAAACATGGATTGCATCCTCTCAGTAATTTAAGACACTTTCACATTTGGTTTATCAGTTACCATTGCCACAATACAAGATGATATCACATCAGCATCCAACTTTGGATGGTCTTGAGTTAATGATGTATTCAGGCATGTATAGGCCCCCCATATTTTGTAATCTGCCAAAAGTTTCTGTTCTCCTTCTTGCATACCCTCACTCTCCAATTGTAATTTTATCCATAGTTAATACATCCATATCTTTCATATTTGTTACATGAATAATGGACCTTAAATGTGTGATGAATTCTAACAGAATATAGCTTGACTGCACGTCTTAGAACACAGACATTAGTAAACATCTTTCCAATATGTAACTCTTCATTATCACTAAAACGTAGAATTTCTTCTATTTCACTAAACTCAGGAGCCATAGTAGACTCAACGTTAATATGTGAAAAAAAGTAAGATCATTGTGATTGTTTTGCATGTCATACTTATTGTTGTTGACATCATTATCATTTGCGTCATCATCATCATTCACACCACTAATATTTACATAAGAATCATATTCATCCCCATCCTCAGGTTCATCCATGATGTCTTCTATTGGAAAAAAGAGAACACGATAGTCCATTGTTGCCCCCATCTTGGGGTGGTTGTAATTGATGGAAATTTCCCATGTGATTGCTAAACATGGATCCTTTCTCAACAATGTTCAACTCATTGTAACTTGATGGTAGAGTATTTCCAACATAATTATCTATTGGTTGTGATTCAACATGACCATGATCTTCTACATCACATATGTTGGCATACAACTCTGCACATGTCAATTGAGTTAAAAATCTTTCAGTCACTTGCCACATTTATTTTATATCTGAGTCATCTTCCAAATTACATGCTTGGTACTGTGGTGGATTTATGCATGTAGGATATCTGTATACTAGATTTGTCACAATTTGATTGGAAGGAAGTCATAACTTTCGTCCAACAACGTCCTTCAATCTATCCAAGATAATATTTGGATCGACTTTAATTACTTTCACTCTATTAGACTCAAATTTAACACCGGTTGGGCCGTTTAAAATTCATCAATTTGCAAATACACACACGAACTCCTTCCTATGATCCATTCTACTCCTTAAATATTACATTATAATTATTAATCAATGAAAATTAAATTGTGAAAATAAATTAACTCCACCACAATCATATCATAGAAATACACAAAATGGTCTCACCACAATATTAATATCATAGAAAAATGATTCCTAATTAAATTTAATTATTTATTATCTTTGTTTACAAATTTTTTGTGCCAAGATACTCCCTCCAATGAATATATTTCATTTTTCAACATATGTTCTATTATTTATAAGATAATAAAAATAATTATTAAAAATAATGCAAATATATAATTTTTTAAAATTGATCTTTTCAAAATATCTACACACACCTATATTCTAAATATTATACCATATATACTCTAAAATCTTAATCTATACCTATTTTCTAAATATTATACTATATACATACACATATGCTACTACATATCAATTTATTTTTATTAATAAAACAATTAATAGCCTCCAAATGAAATTTAGTACAAGAAATTACATGTATAATATATTAAATATCCAAAAATTAATGATATAATAACAAGAAGAAAAAAAAATACTGAACAAAGTTCTCAAGTCCACATAAATATAAGGTCAAAAAAATTCTACATAATTAAATATATTCAAAGTCTTTCAAGAAGAAAATGAAACATGCGTTCTTTTATTAAAAAAAATTAATATTTAATATTTTTAGCTAAAGAAGTTTAACTAATATAAGTTAGCATTATTTTTTAAAATAAATAAAGTCTAAGGGAATATTTATTTCTTTTTAATAACTATTACATATTTAATATTATTGCCCCTTTAGATTTCAACATCGTCAAAACATAAATAAAATTTAATTTTAATATCATGATTTTTTTATTTAATGAATTTTTAATTGGGAAATTTGCTCTAAAAGAATTGAGTCTTAAAAGATTTATATTTTAGTTATTTTTTTCTTTCAAATCATATATACCCATGCCCTTTTAATCCTTTATTAGGAAAACCAAATATTAACTATGTAGTTAGCCAAAAAAAAATACATCTGCAACATTTGAATTTTCATACTTTCATCCATGATGTTAATGGACATGTGTGTGTGTGTGTATACACCAATTTTTTTTGGTTAAAGGTATGCCCTCTCTGCATTTTCATAAAAATTATTGCGGATCTATTGAACACATTAGAGTCAGTTTCTTTTTAGGTTGTTATATCTCCTATGAATACAATTACATAATATAATATGCTTAACTAGTACTACTCTATTCTTTATTATAAGAAAATTAGCAACATGTCTTCATCTTTAATAACAAACTCAATGTGGCAAAAAATTCATGACTAAATATAATAACTTTGCTATAAATATTAAAAAGAAATTAAGTAAGAGAATGCACCTTAATCATATCAATAATCAACCTTCAAGCTAGAATAAAATGCAGTACACCACAATACAGCACACCCCACCAATATATGAGTGGAAGAGGAAGGGAAAAGCTAAGAAAGAAGAAGAAATGGCCAATATCTATGAAAGAGGAAGAATGGACTAAGGAAAGAAAGCAACCACCGAAAAAAAAATCGGAGCATGGAACAATTATATAGACCATGCAACAATTATATGAACCATGCACTTATTACTCCCATAGACCCTTTTTCTTCTTCCATCACTTCAAGTTTCAGTTTTACACTATGCCTTCACGAGCTAAGAGAATCAGACTACACATGGCAAATCTTACATGTTGATTCGACCAAGCTACAGTATGGAAATATTAGAGGAAGGCACGCTGGTATAGGTTGATTTGACCAAGCTATAGTATGAAAATATTAGAGGAAGGCACGCTGGAACACTTTTTGAATGAGGACAAAACTAAAGTCGATGTCACATCCCTAAAGTCGTTCTTGGCGTGAACGACTTTTTCAGAAATTTAAAGTCGTTCTCGGGGAGAACGACTTCCAGTGAAGTATTTCGGGAAATACTTTTTACCCTGTAGCATTTCGGTAATATTTTGTACTGTTTATAGTATCCAAGTAAAAAAGCCCCTTTAGCCGTCTAATATTCTGATCAACGAAATTAAGTTAAATATTTATATTGTTATTGAGATATTTTTGTGCCGAATTATTGAAGTCATTTTGACTTTGGACTTTAAGAAAAATAAATATTTCTATTTGATAATATTGATGATTACTTCCAGCAAAATAGCCAGTTAAGAGAATAATTAGGATTCAATATTTTTAACTAAATACTCAAATCATGTAAATTAAATTAAAAACCGTTTTTTGTGACCAACCTAGTTAGGTGGGTCTCCAATCCAGCCCAAAAAAGGGAAAAATCATTAGAAAGTCATATTGAAAGAGCTTTGCTCCGTGTTTAGGATCCAACATGTACTTACATCGGGTTAGCTAAAAATGCCAATGATCAAATGATTATTATTAAAAAAATTACTTAGTTTATATTTTATTATATAAATATAGGTTAAATCATATATTAAAAATAAATCACTACTCCTTTAGCAAAATGCAATTATCTAATTTTTCTAGCACCATATATAATCAGTAAATAAATACGAAAAATTATAGAGAAGAATAATTTAACGGAAAGTTTTTTGCTAAAGCATATATATCCTCTTGTTGGAAGGAATCCTATTCGAGATACTGTCAGGCACCAAATATGAATACTTATCCCAGTGAGGATTTGAACTTTAATTCATCACGTTGTGAAAGACTAGCTTCTTCTGCTAAATCCAACCCCGTTGGTAATTTAACGGAAAGTTATTTAGTTTTTTATGGGTCCATTCACCATTTTTGCAATGTAAACATGGTTTGATCAGGCCCATCAGATTTAGGCCCTACCCAACTGACTTAAGCACCGAGGGTAGAAGAGAAGGCCCAAATCAATTCCCCCCCAGTCCAACGTCGAAAGCAACTTTGTCCCCCCCCCCCCCAAAAAAAAAGGTATCTCCACGTAATGTCGCTTTAGATTTAATACTAATTTTTATCAGGTGCCTCACAACAAGCACGCTTTTGGGGATATGAACTTAAGTATCAACTAAAAATATTCTCATTTAATCAAACGATTACATCAGATATAATGACAACGAGGAAGTCCTTTCATCATCGTCCATCCTTTTAACACAAGATGGTGGATGAGGAGCAAGAAGTCTCCGCCTTATCTTCTATTCCGTTTTCTTTGAATTCCTTGTGCTACAGTGAATACTTGGAATTGGACAGAGTCAGAAGCCAACCACATTATTCAAGGCTTGGGAAGAGTCTTACTTTTTTCACCCCATTATATGTTATATTTCACATCGATTCCGATTCTTTTCTCTTCCAGCTCATACACATTCCCCACAAGAAAAAGTTGGGACGATGTAATTAATGGAAGAAGGGAAGTGAGAGGTCCACAAACGATGATCTTGTCATCAACATCAAATATTCTGCATCAAAATGGTAGGCAATACTGCAAGTTATAAGTGGGATCGACGACCACTTTTATAGGGTTCTTTTATTAGCTCCAGGCATTGAAATGGCCTAACAAGTTCGCCGTTCAAGATTGTGAAAGAAGAGGAAAGGCCAAAGAAAAGAGGGAAAGAAAATTCCCCCAACCCCCACGGGATAAAATAACAGTAGTTCTAATTATTATGCTCCTAAAGCTATTCTGTTCTCCCATAGACTTAAGTTAAAGTATTACTATAATGAAAAGGATGCCCAAGGGAATTTTGCCATGCCTGCAAATGCACCTGAAAGTCTGAGAGTAATATGAATTTAGTGAAACTTACAAACTTTCCCAATTCAAATTAGCTGCAGGCAGCGCGTTATTATTGCCAGATTAAAGAGGAAATGTTAACATATGTGTCTGCAATTTATCATGCTACCAGGAGAAAGTTTTGAATTAACAAAGATACTACAGAAGGAACTGATGAATAAAGAAAAATGGACAAAAGGTTCCGTTGTTGACAAGGATTTTCAAGAGCAGGACAGTTCAGGCTGCAGAATCTTTGCAAAAATAGAAGTGAACAGAAGTAAAGAACATACCCTCCTCATTGCTGATGATTAGAGACAAGCTCATCCAGTGCCTCTATAGTAGCTTCATAGCAGAAATTGTACTGGCTCTGACAAGATGCAGAAAAATAAAATAGAAAGATGAGATGTCAAGAAGTTGAAAAAAAATGCAAGTGGAAAGTGAAGAATATGACATTGGAAATTGGATCAAACGTAGGAATTTGAATTCAGGCCCCAAAAAGAGTTACTCCCCATCCTCAGACTAAGACATTTGCAAACAATCCACAAATGAAATTTTAACACAATAACTTTTGTATACAATCGTGTTCAGAATCTCATTAGGTATTGTTTGTTATGAGAAAAATGAAAAGGAGGGGAAGGGAAGGAAAATTTTAACGAGTTCTATTTTAAAAATTCAAGAAGTGGGGTTTTGAAATTTTAATAAAGAGAAAAGTAATATAAAAGACTAATAAAAATTAATTAAAAGTTTTTAACCTCATTTTTTCAGTTTTTTAAATCAAGCTTATTAAAACTTTTCTTCCCCTACCCTCCTCTCATTTTTAATCCAAGTGTTTGGAATTGACTCTTGGATTCATCCTAGCATTTCATTAGACATCAATCACATCGTTGGTGGAATTTACACACTTTATTTAAGTGCTACAATGAACACAGGAATGATGAAAAAGTATGGGCCTAATTTGAGAAATATCTAATATGCCCTCGCTATCATTAATCAACAACATCTACTTTATCATCATCATCACCACCAAAAAGTATCCGTACATTTCCCGTACATTTCATTCACTTTTTATCATCCCCTATCATTTTCCCTACCTAATATTCTCCCTTATCAAACATAGCATCGGTTTTTTAATGATCCCGACCAACGGACAAAAAGCAGAATCATCTGGCTAGTGAGAAGTGATAGAATCCTACAGGCCAAACAGGCCGATAAAGTACTGTAATTAGTCGAAGGAATCCCAGAGTTGCATGCTTGAGCTTCGCAACGAGGTTGTATGGATAAAACTGAGAGTTAAGTTGTATAAATGAGCAATTATTTAGCCTCCTTTTAAGGTAGGAAGGAGACCAGGTGAACCTTTTCATTTCATCTAATACTCACTTATGAATCTTCAAATAACAGTCTAGCCTAACACCTCAACAAAAATTAGCTACATTACCATCAAACCATCTGAGGAATCGAAAGTCATGTTTGTTCTTGGGTTTTTAAAATTGCTTGGCCGTTTACTGAGTTTAGGATGGGAACCTAATTGATATGCAACCCAACAAAACAAATGCCATTCCGTCCATAATCAATACGGTTCATAACACCAACAAACTATTGGTTGAGATAGCAAGCGGTCTCACCTTTGTAAGAAAGAGAACACAAGTTCGAATCACGGAAAGTGCACTTATTAAAAAGGCTTTAACCTTAACACTCCCGATCCAATAGAGATTTTGATTCATTTTTTTTTTCCCTGAGTGACTTGGGGAAACTCTATGTTTATACCAAAAAAAGAAAGGGTTCATAATGGACAATATTAAGTACAATGCCAGCTACCTGTTTCTGAGCCATTCCATATCGCTGCGACCTGAAGACAGATATGGTATTACGAAGATCCAAGGCAGACTTATCCCCTACAAGGATTCTCTGAATTGTATTGTGAACAGCACAATATGCTCCAGTTCTGCCAATACCTGCACTGAGAATCATAGATTTCTCAAACAAATATGCATGTGACTTATTATAATTTTGCAGTAAAAGGTGCGAGCTTTCAGCCAAAAAATAAATGAATAAGTGTGAGCTAACCTGCAGTGCACCACGATTGGGCCAAGTTTTGGTGGTAAATGGTACAATCTCTTAAAAATTGCGCGCACAGCATGTGTATCGTTGGGGACTCCATAGTCAGGCCACTGAGGATAATGAATGTGCAAAACAGACAAGGGCGGATCTTCCTGCAATAAAAACAATCAATGATAAAAGTAAACCACAATGCAACAATTTTGTCACAAAATAGAAAGAAATAGTTGTGGCAATGAGCAAGCTATGAACTACAAGGACAGACATTAAGTACAATGCTGATTACAGACAACAAAGGCTAAAAGAGGGTTTCAATAATTGGTCTGGATCTTAGTAACTCAGTGTCCAAAAACATTATTTGTCAGGTTGTAGCAGGTAAATCTTACGGAAATTTTCCCTAGAGCAACATGCCCCTGGGTAGAAGGTCAAGCCTGATATCAGTGCTTCTCACTTGAGTCAATGGAAGCTCATATCTCAGTGATATATTGCATCAGGTAGAATTAACAGAAAAATGTTTACATTATGGAGACCAATAACATAGTAATAAAATGAATCCACTAAACTGGTTCATATATGAATAACAAATAATACGTTTTCAATTGTTATTTGAGCGAAGTGTAGAAGTCTAACAGCAAAACAGATGGAAAGCAGAGGCACTGATTGACCAAATTTGTCCTAAACATTAAACCGTAGGGACAAAAGGAACAATGCATCTTGTTATATTGAAAAGTGATTGACCCAATCAATTGGAACTCAAAAGGGAATGTGCCAACGTGGACTGTGCCAAAAAGAAATCAAGGACACCATAAATTGGGGTAATAATATATGCAAGGCCTCTGAGATGCCCGGACAAGTAAAACGATATAGCAAGGTTTTAGCATCGGATAACATTTTTGAACTTTCAGGGAAAGGAGACGGAGATTTCTTCACTCTTCAGCAAATAATCTCTCCCACCCCAAAGATAAAAGATGAACAAATTTGCCACTCAATCCATTCAACAAAGACTGGATAAATTTTTACACTATATATACAAAATTTAAAAATATTAAATATGTTATAAGTACAGAGAAATAAGGAAAGAATACCCGTCGATGAAATGTAGTAAGTCAAATCTAGCCTAAACTAGGGCTTCATATTTATAGGAGAAAGTTGCAATGCAAGCCATTGAATGCTCAGTTACCAAATATGTCCTATTGATTATACTATAATAGTAACCTACAGGATAAGGGATAAGGGCCAAGCTAATAGACACTCACAATGTAATGAGCATAATTACATTCCAACATGTCTCACCTTTCTATGCACCTTCAAATGGCGCAATACCAATGAGTATTCAATAGTCTTCATCCATTCACAAACAACAGAGATATTACCAAACTTTAAAGGTCCACCCTCAGCTTGAAAATAATCGTGGCATTTTACAATCTGCAGTTTATGAAGAGAAAGAAAAATAGCTCATGAAAAAGCAAGTCTAATTTACAAGTAAAACAATATAATGATGTTTGGGGAAAAAAATCAACCAAAGCAAGCACGGAATTGCTTTAGCAATAATATCTTTAAGCTTGAGAAGGACTAAACGAAAGAGCAGGCGATTGCATTTTTAATGGACATCTTGGTAAAGACTAAATGCACAAAATTTGGAATTGTAATAACTTACCAAAAACAAAAAGAAACATAGTGCAGGAGCCAGGACCACTCTTTAAAGCAAATAGATTACATAGCTGGGAAACATTAATAATCACACTATCCTTTAATAACTTTGCTTAAAGAATGAGATAATGGATGCAACACCACATTTCAAAAGCCAAAATGAGGATAATCTCTGCAATCTCTTTGCAGAGGATGCACTAAATGATACGACAATAAATAGAGTTGGGCAGCAAAAGCCAAATTACAAGCATATTTAAAAACCAGGGACGGATTTAGAATGAGAGATGTTCTGGAACAGAGGTGAGAATTTTGGTAAATCAATATATAAACAGTTCGAAATTATTTTTTTTAATATTTGTCATAAATAATTTTTGAAATAATTTAATTTTTAATATATCAATATACATAATTAAATGAAAATATAAAATTCTTAAAATAAAAAAAAAATTTCAATTTAAGATTTTCAATTTCTTTTACATATCACTGCATATAGATAATTTTCAATAAAGGATTATGATAGATCTTCAAATTTTACAAAATTCAAACCAAGACATATAATATAAAATCTAAAGAACAATATTGTTTAAAAAATCTTAATTAACACTATATCCAAATTAAATAACAAAAAAATTATTTTCATGCGATGATATCGATATTTCACCAATTTTTTTTTTTTAAAAAAAGCTAACATGCATTATGTAGATATTAAACTTCACCTTTTTTATTAATAAAGATTTAATATTAGTTGATATAAATATTTCAATAAATTAACAAAACATATACGTATTTTCTTTGAGTTTTTTCTGTCACCGAATATATTTTCTTATTTAATTTAATTAACTATTAGCATTATGTGTGTGTGTCTATATTGTTTGTGTTAGGCTTTTCGGTGAGCAAACGTGAGCACAAGGGCCTAAATTAAGACACATAGTTACAATTAGTACGAGGGACTCCTAAAAACATCCGAGGAGGAGGAAACCATTGCTCCCGCAAAGGGTGGAGCTTCTTGAGAGGGAGGCAAAAAAATATTAAAAGATATCACTTGTGTAGTACCTTGTTATGTTCAACAAGCGCAGTGAGATTCACAATGACGGGGCAGCGGCACTGGATTACCATTTCCCAGAAATCCTCACAAGTATGTGGCAATGGACCTTGTGTAGCTATAAACTGAGAAACACTCTCAGCTGAAGAGGTCTGCATAAAAGGAACTCACAAGGCATAAAACTAAGAACAGAATACCAATATGGCAATATATCTCCTTGTAATTATACTGTTCCCAGACAATACCAAATACTCATACTACTATCTATACCGAGAGAAAGCTTGCATTGATATATCCCATGGCCATGGGTCTATCATCTGTACATGATTCCAGAACGACCCTGTTATCGTCAACTGAAATAAGGAACAAATAAACATTTACTCTCAATAAATAAATCAATAAAATTCTTAAAGAACACATGTTCTGGTTGAACAGAAATATCAGATGCACTGCATTTACTCTCAAATACATTATAACATTCAGTAGGGAGAAAACATTGAGTGTCATATTTACATGGCAGGACATTCTCCGGATACCGATTTTTGTTCAGATTTACGTCATTTAGAGCTACGGTGCATCTTCTCCTCAGCTCACTCAGTGTTATCACATTGGCCTGAAATCAAACATTCAGGGGGAACGAAAACAAAATTGCAAGAGAAGCAAGCTTGGATTTAGAAACCAATTATGGAAGTGAATTGTATAGCTTGTCCAGTTGCTCTTATAAGATATGACAATAGCAAACATGCAAACAAATACTAAAGGAATGGGCAATCCACATAACAAAACTGCGAGTAAACTCTTGACAAATCTCGTACGATGGTCGAAGCTTTTAAGATGAATAATTTCTTTTCCTTCTTCTTTTAGTATGAACATTGCATAGTTTATTGTGAGAGTAAAAGAGGAGGGAAAAAAAATTCAACTCCTACAAAATAGGCGAATAGGCTGCCCGTCATTAAAAGATATGAAAATGTCCAACACCACAGAGCATTCCAGTAATTAATAAACTCGCACAAATTTCCCAAAGAACAAATCATAACAGCAACAATAAATGACGACCCCCAGCAATATTTGAAGAGTCATCATTGCGCGTCCCCCATTTTCCCATAAACTTTCTAAAGGGTGTTCTGGCTTCAACTAGCGGCACGTTCCAACGTGAAACCAAACAGACACACTGTAGGAAGTACCAAACTACCTCCAAGTGGGCGAACTCTTGATCGATCATCTCCGGCGTTCTCTCCCTAAAGCTGCCCAGCGCTTCAGTACAGTCCCTGACCTGATGAGGGGTGAGAGAAATTCTCGGGGGAGAATCGGAGGAGGGATCCCACGGTTTGTGAGAAAAAGCAGAGGAAGAAGTTGAAACAGAAGCAGCCATGGCAGATCTCTTGTGGGCGCGAAAGTGGATTCAGACTCGGCGTTTAGCAAAAACAGAGCGAGAGAAGGGAGTGGATGGGAGTTGACTGTGGTGGTGAGACAAAGTTGATGGCGGAGGCCCCTTTTTGGCGGTGTGGTTTTCGGTCGTCCCTTTTCTGCATTTCATATTTTTATTTTCCGGCAACTGCATTGGGTCCCACTTTCTTTGCTCACCAATCAGCACTCGTCACGTGCAAGCATTTGGATCGGTCATTCCGGCTAATGAGATCGTTGTAATAATCAACGCCCTGTCACTGATGTTTCCCACGTGTTATATATGTTCCTTTGGTGGTGATTCGTTGATTTTGGTCCCAACCATCGTTTTAATTTTTTTAAAAATTAAGAGGTGTTAGCGATACAAACTGAGCTAACTATTCAAACTTTTAATCCAAGTAAAATCACTCATTTTCAACTTCTCAACTGGTCATGTTAAGACTCTCATTTTTTAATATCAGATCTAAAATAACTAAAAAAGCTATTACCAAACACACATTAATAGATTGTGGTCAAATTCTATTTCTAATGCACAGGATTCTCTTAAAGAAGTAAGTGCAGAGCATATTCAAAATTTTTAATGATAGAATAAAAGTATTATAAGTAAGGCTTTCAGAAAAAGAGAGGAATTTAGAGAGAATTCATGAGGAAAGCACACTGACATTATACAAGAAAGTTATTAAAAATCTTTTTGCACCTAATTATTGGCAAAGTGTGGTTTATATAGAGACTCTGGGTCATAACATGATGAAATCTAAAAGCAAATATTCTAAACACCATTATTACAACTTGACATAAAGACAAAGATGCCTTTAATCATTACAACAAAACAAACACACTTCAATTATTACAATAAGACAAACACTCATTTAATAAAGTTAAAATAGACATATGACATAAAGTAGATTCCTGGCGAATTCTCCTTATCTTTTGATGTGACACAAAACAGATTCCTTGCTAATTATGCTTATCGCAAGCTTTCACATATAGTTTCATCACTTGGGGATAGATTCATGACATCTTCTAGGTCACAGTTGTCAACATTAGAATCATAGATCCCTATTGTGTAGTGTGAAGGTGGCCTATGGCTCCTTGTAAGTTGGTATTTCAAACTTTGTAAGTAGGGTCTTATCATCATTATCTTGGTTAAGATCTTGGGATTCTCCTGCAAAAAATGGAGTCTGTGACTGGAGACTTAGTTGAGAGAGATGGAGTCCTTCAGGCTGAGTGAGTTGGATCTATGAATCTCCTTGATAGGGATCCTGAGATCGTTTTTTTAGAAAGTTATTTGTTGGAATTGAAGATATAACAGCGCCGATGATGAAATTCCTCTAAAATACTTCAAGAGTCAAAGAACTAGCCCTTTGTGGCCAAGTAGGAGGACTTTGAAGAAAAAAGTCCAAGAGAAAGACATGCAGAATCTTCTCTTATGTCTGGCTCATTAAGTGCAGTTAATGTTTTTTTTTTTCAAGTTTCTCTATTAGTAACTTTTCATCTTTTGGCCACAAGGAGAAAGTAATCTAGAGATTCAAATTGTTTTCTGTATAAAGATTTTCATCAGTGTCTTTGTCATAATACTTGTAAAAAGTAAACAAACAAAAAAGTTTTTATCAAAAATATTGTAGAGTTTTCCTTTTCAGTAGGAAAGAGAAGCAAGCATCTCAAAGAAGGTGACAAGGTGAGAATTTTGGTTTTTTAAGTCACACAGATGGTGGTATATAAAAAAAACTGAGAAAACTATGGCATAGGTGTAGTTGGCTAAAAGAGACCAAATATACCATAAAATTTCTTCTAATATAGGTCTTTTCGTGATGGGAATAGTGAGGTATAGAGTATCGGCATCAAAATGCTAAGGATATGGGTGAATTCCAATGTTCATGACAAGAATGTGAAGCCGATAAAACATAATACTTTTGGGAGATTTTGGACATATGTTAAGGTTTCAAGACGAGATCCAAAAGGAAAAATAGCAATTTTCATTGTGCAAGGCATTTCTTTGTACCAAAAAAAAGTTAAATTGTACAAAAAGAAAATAGTCTGCACAAAATATTATTAAGATACTTTCTCTGTCTTATTTATTTATGAGTTTTAAATTTGGAAATGAGTACCTTTCATTTTATAAATTTCAATTTGCATTTGTCTCAATATTTAATGTATTTCTTTTTAATGTTGCTATTAATTATTTTTTCTTATCACATTTCTCCACACATTTTCTTTCATCTTTTTATTTATTTATTATAAAGATATATTTGAAAACAAAAGTATATTTTTAATGTATTTATTATTTTTAACTAATTATTTATTATTCATAGATTAATTACTTATTGCTTATAATAAGACTTTGAGGGGGTACAAAGGACTAATTTGCAGATAAGATTACAGACAAGGAAAGTTGGGAAAAAATTAATTTGAAGTCCTTTCAATTCTCTGAATTCTGAACGACCCTTGGAATTTTTTTGGGTTTTCATTCGGTCCTTTAGTTTTGCGCCATTACATCTATTAGTCCTCAGGTAATAGCTAACGACGTTAGCATTTGCTGTTATAATAATGGGCCTAAACCCTTGTCTCCTTTCTCTCCCACCGTAGATGTCTCCAACCAAGCTAACCTGTTTTAGTGATAGCAAAACAGAGCTATTGCAGAGAAGGAAACAAGCGAGAGAATAAGGATAATGCAGAGATTGGAGACAGGTGGATTTAAAATGGACACCGCCTCTATGCTAGATGAAGGTTTTCACTGTCTCAAATTTTGCTAGTCCGAGGTTTACTCCCTTCAACCTTCTCATAACCCCCACCATTATTGCTTGGTTATCCAACACAACCCCCTTTGTCCTCTGCCATGGCTGATAGAGAACGAGGAGCAGGGAGGAAGCAACACCGACAAGACGAAGAACCGAATTCGGTTGACTAGATTAGAAGAAACCAAATTGAAACTTCTGCATTTGTCTTCACAGAAAATGTCGCTAAGCATCACATCCAGAAAAGATGATAATAATTTAAAAAAATTTCAGAGCTCATATTTCATATTTATTCGAAGAGGCTGCACTCACCAATTTATTCCACACTTTCTCTTGTTAATTTTTTTTTTTTTTTCCAAGTGCAGGGCTTTGTTTGAGACGGCTATGGTGGAAGGTGAAAGAAGGAGAGTAATGTTTCAGACTCGTTATCCATGCTTTCTAACGGTAAATTTCAACCCTTTTAGTTGGGATTAACTTATATAACTGAAGAAAGTTAAAGGATACAATTAAAAAAAGGAAGAAAAAAAAAGATAAGTACTTAATTCAAAATTCGAAAAAGGCTGGAAGTACTTCCAAATTAATTTTTTCAAGTTGAGTTGCACCAAAACTCAGTTGGATAAAGTTACTAAAGACCATTTGTTAGTTAATTTTACGCGCGCACATATAAGTTGAGAGACACACAGGTCAAACCGTCAAATACATGGTCCCGTACTCTAGCTTTTTTTTTTTTTAGCTACACATGAGCACTCTTATATTAGAAACAATCATATTCAAAACACTATTAGATGCTAAATGTGACAATCCTCCTGATAAAAATATAAATATTACTCTTCCAGTCCTTAATATAAGACCCATTTAACTAATTTGATTAGATTAAAGAAGTTAGGTAAGTTAGTTAATTATAAGAAAAGTGACACATTTTTCCTAAAACACCATAATCATCTTCCTTAATACCCTCTCTCCCTCTTCTACTTGATTATGGTTGAGAAAGTATCCACAAGGGTAATTTAGAGAAAGTTGATAAATATGAGAAATGAGTCTTATATTTAGGATCAAAACCAACTCAAGAATTGGATCCTATATTAAGGACCGGAGGAGTAATTCATTCTGCTAGGCTCAGTCTAATTTTTATCGAGAGAGAGAAAAAAACTTTGTTCAGTCCGCCCCATCGAAACCAGGTCCTACCCAACCCATCAATCCCCAGGCCTAGTAAAATAGGCCCAAAAGGTTAGATCCCTCGTCTCCATCGCGAATTATTTGGACCATCCTTCATTTCTATCAATGCATAAGGTGACACAGTTAGGCCATTATTGTTATTCAGAAATTAGTAAAAGGAAAAATACTAGGATGCTGCCCGCATAATCGTACTCCTTGCAAGTTTCTGCAAGAACAACTAATTCTTACTAGTTTTATCAGCATTCTTATTTGACTCAACTTTAAATGTTTAGACCATCAAAAGCAACTTTGATTTGTAGAAGGAGAAAGTCTGTCCCTTCCATTTTCTTTGAATTCATCACATTATCTTCCACAACTCCCAAATATCCCCCACAAGAATAACATGCGACAGTATACGTAATAAAAGAAGGGAAGACAGATGGCTATAATTGATCATCTTCTCATCAACATCAGATATTCTGCGTCCGGAACTCCAGGGTAAGTGAATAAGATAAGATGCTTTTTATTAGCTTCATGCACTAAAAGGCCTAAGAAGTTCACCTTCCAACATGGGGAAAGGAGAAAGAGGAAAAAGGGGAGGAGACAGAAATAAGAAAACAGGGTCCAAATTATCGTCTTTAAGAGCCATTCTATTCCCTCATGGGTTTCAGAAGGATGCCCATGGTAGGTTGCCATGCCTACAACTGCACCTGAAAGTTCAGGAATGATAAGAATTAAGTGAAATTCACAAGCTCTCCTAATTCAAATCAGCTGGAGGCAAGTACATTAGTATTGCCATACCAAAAGAGGAATGCCAAGGTAAGCAGTAGTTCAAAATGAAGCAAGCAAATCTCACTTCTCGTGATGGTTCACTTATTTACATCAAACATCAAAGGTAAATGTCAATTTATGGGGAAGAATCACCATGAGGTTCCTTCCTTAATCATCAAAAAGTCCCACAAAAATTAAGCAACATGTAAGGACAAGTTCCAGTATAGGAAATGACAGCAGGACCATGACTCTTGCTTGTTATTGGGACTTTTTGATAATTATATTTATTCCTCAAGGCGTCATAATGATTTTCCCAGTTTATAAAGCTACCAGGCGAACAGCTTGAACCAACAAAGACAGTACGAAACTATGGATGAAGAAAACTTGGAAAAAGAAATCATTGGAATAAAGGACTTTCAAGGCCAGAACAGTGCGGACTACAGAATCTTGGAAAAACAGGGGTGAACAGAAGTAAAGAACGTACCGTCCTCATTGCTGATGAGAAACAAGGTCTTCCAGTTCCTCTAAGATAGCTTTATAGCAGAAAAAGTACTGATCCTGATATAATGTAGGAAAAGAAAAAGAAAGTTGGAAAACAAAGCATATAGAAAGTAGAGGATAAATGGGAATGTCACATTAGTGTTTGAAATTTAACATAATAATTTGTGTACAATCTTGTTAAGAATCACATTAGTGTTTGCAATTGACTCTTGACCTCATCTTGCTATTAAATTATGTCCATTGCATTACTCACTGAATTTACACACTAATTCAGTCATAAACTGTTGATCAACAATAAAGAATGAACAAAAATAGCTCTGTACCTCCCAACAGTAAACATTTAGATAAATAGCATAACAGCCCAAGTACTTTACAAAAATGCTTGCTATTCAAAGGCGAAACAATAATCGGAACGTCCCAGATAATTATATTCATAATATTTCATCAAAACAGTTTCACTTTGTATCTTATTATGCTAACAATGCTTGCTACTTTATATGAGCTGAAGATGGATTTTATTAGGTAAACATATACTGACAGAATAAATAAAATATTAGAAATTATTATGGAAAAGCTAATTTGCAGTTACATGTAGACACAGAAGATGCCTATTTAAAATTAGCATATCCATCTAGATCACCATTAACATGATCAGGCAAGTACTAGGCCTCAATCAATTCTAGAACCAAAAATTGAAACCTATAGTTTTGCTTAAAATGGTTTTTATACGCCTATTTAGTTCTAGAGAAATAGACTAGAACCAAGAATTGAAACCTAGAGTATTGCATATATTAGCAAGTATTTAGTCTGTACTTAATATATCTTTCTAGTGGTTTTGGAGGTTATATTCACCCGTTTTATTGTACATTTTGAGAGTTATAATCTGGCACAGACTAGTGAATCTTCAATGAACAGTCTAGCCTAATGTCTTGACAAAAATTGCATTACTATCAACGATCTGATTGAACATAATGCTTGTTGTTAGATTTAAAAATTGCTTGACCATCTACTGAGTTTGGGAAAAGAACTTGATTATTATTTGATTCAAAGAAACCAATGCTTTTCTATTCTCAATCATTATGTTCATAATTGACCTAATTTAAGGTGGCAATGCCAGCTACCTGTGTCTGAACCATTCCAATACGCTGTGACCTGAAGACAGCTATGGTATTACCAAGATCCAAGGCAGACATATCACCAGCAAGGATTCTCTGAATTGTGTTGTGAATTGCACAGTATGTTCCAGTCCTGCCAATACCTGCACTGAAATCAGAGGTTTCTCAGACAAATAAGCATATGACTTATTATCATTATTACAATAAATATAAGTGATGAGCTAACCTGCAGTGCACCACTATTGGGCCAAGGTTTGGTGGTATATGGTACAATCTTTTCAAAATTTCACGCACAGCATAAGTATCTTTGGGAACTCCATGATCAGGCCATTCAGGATACTGAATATGCAAAACAGGCAAGGGCGGCTCTTCTTCCTGCAAGAAGAAAAATTAATGAAAAAAGTTAACCACAATGCAATAATTGTGTTTCAACAGATAAAATCAAGTGAATAAGCAAGGTAAGGATCAAAGAGGGTCTAGATCTTAGTAACTGTGTGTCCAAACACATTGATTTGACATATTCTAGCAGATAAGTGTTATGGGATTTTCCCCTAGAGCCACATACCCAGGGGAAGAAGGCTATTAGAAGGAAAACATATAGCAGTGATAGGTGGGTTGTCATGCCTGCTACTTGAGCTCATGGAACTATGGAAGTGCATATTTCGGTAATATGCTGCATTTGGTAGCCTTTATAGAAACAAATTGATAATATAAAAGCCAAAAATATGGTACCAAAATAAGACCCATAAATTAGCTCATACATGAAAAGTGAATAATAGCTTTTCAGTTATTTTACTGTTTAAGCAAATCATACAAGTCTCACAGCAAAACATACCAAAAACAGAGGCATTGATTGACCAAATCGAACTTAAACACAAACCATTGGGGGAAAAAAAACAAGAATTCATCTTGCTCTATTGAAAAAAGAAATCAAGGGCACCGTAATATGAGAAGATGATATAAGTAAAACCTCTGAGATAGTGGGAAATGACATTATTCCATAAAGGGAGAACCAAACAGTACCCCAAAAGAGAGAGAGAGAGAGAGAGAGATTGTCATTCTATTCAGACATAGTTTATAAAATGTAAAAAAAAAAAAGAAGCCATCTTAGAGTATACAGAAATAAGAAAAACTCTTGAATGAAACACAGCAAGTGAATCCTGACCTACATGAGACGTCCCATTTATAGGAGAGAGTTACAAGCCAAGCCATAGAATACTCTTAGTTACAAAATGATATTACATTAATCACACAAACTAACCTACAAAATATGGAGTAAGAGGCATATCAAACATGCTAATACAAATTCACAATGTTTACCGTTGAAATTGGTTGAGTCTAAGAATTCTCTCAATTCCTTGAATTCTATTCATGATTGCATAGTGTTTATATAGACATAATTGAGCTAACAAGCCTGCCTCCTAACTAGGATAATAATCTAGATTAAATCTATCTAAATCCCTTGAAGGATAAAATAAAATAAATAAAACAAATCTGACTTGATAAAGATAATTTTAAGAGCTAAAATACTAATAAACAGAATAATTAGTAAATAAATAAATAAATAACAAACTACTGGAGACACGCCATTAAACATTTACATTCCAAGACATCTCACCTCTCTATGCTGCACCTCCAAATGGCGCAGTTCCAGTGATGTTTCAGTAGTTTTCATCCATTTGCCCATAATAGAGATATTGCCTAACTCTCTAGGTCCATCTTCAGCTTGAAAATAATCTCCACATTTTACCATCTACAATATACAGCTCAAAAATAGAGAGGAAAATAGCTTGAGAGAGGAAAACAGCTCATGAAAAGCAAGTCTAATTTACTGGTATAACTACAACACAATGATATAAAAAAGGGGGTAGAACCATGAAAGACATGGATTGCTTGTTTCATAATATCTTCAAGCTTCAGAAAGAAGAAGAATTGAAAAAACTGATGCAGCAGCTCAAGCCAAAATGAGTATAATCGCTGCACGAGAATGTTTTATCATACATCATTATAGCTTCTGACCCCACACACACAGAGAGAGAGAGAGAGAGAGAAGAAAAAAACATTCTGCTTTTGGTTATGGAATCAAACAAGGAACTTAATTTGGGCATAAATTAAGCTGTTTCTAATATCACAAGTAACATTATGATTGTGCAGTTTGGTGCAAAATTGGACAGAGAAACCTGTAATAAAGGTGATCTCCTCACAGTAAACGACAAAGGTCACTAATTCTATATATGATAAGGAAAAAAAGCTACGGCAGACTCCTTCCTCATAATATCCAAAAATTTTGTGAGCTAGCTTGCCCCTGTTGTATTTTACATTAGCACAGTGGAATCAAATAGTTCCAAAAAAAAAAAAAAGGATTTTGCCACTAAAGTGGAGAAGATAGCTATAGCATCTCCTACTTGAACTTTAACTGTGCTTGGCTAGCAAAAGCACTTCATGTCAATCTTTACAGTCAGAAAATAAAACGAATATAGACATGGAAAGTGAGAGAATTCAAATAGATCTGGATAACAAAAGCCAAACCACAAGCACATTTGAAAACCACCAAACAATCAATTTAACATCACTTGCCACAACAAAAATTACCTAGAAGCCTACACAGTCAAGTACCTTATAATTGTCGACAAGTCTAGTGAGCATCACAACAGCAGGGCAACGGTATTGTATCACCATTTCCCAGAAATCCTCATAAGTATGTGGTAGGGGACCTTGTGTAGCTATAAACTGAGAAACACTTCCAGAGGAAGAGGTCTGCAGTTGAGGAACTCAGACTTTTTCAAACTAAGAAATAATATACTGAGGTCCCCTCGTAATAGTGTTTCCAAACAATATCAAATACTCATAATAATAACCATACCGAGACAAAGCTTGCATTGATGTATCCCTTGGCTGCAGGTCTATAATCTGAACTTGATTCAAGAACAATTCTGTTATTGTCAACTGAAATGAGGAAAAAATAAACAACTAAGTCAATATATAACTCTCCAAACACAGATGCTCTCGTTCTAACAGAATATCAGATGCAGTGCATTTACTCTCAAATATATTATTCAGATAACCTTCCTTAGGGAGAAATAAGAAAGTCATATTTACATGGTAGGACATCTGTATACCGATTTTTGCTCACATTTACGTCATTTAGAGCAACAGTGCATCTTCTCCTCATCTCACTCGGTGTTATCCTATTGGCCTGAAATCAAACATTCAGCAATAACCAAAAAAGTAAGGCAGGCAAGCCTAGAGTTAAAAACAAATAATGGAACTGAATTGTATAACTTGGCCAAATTTTCAATGAGAATTTCGTTTAGTAGTCCATCATCCCATTCTGTTCATGTCATCGCACAATATGAGGATAGCTATAACCACCGAGAGTTGTTACAACAAGCAAGACTTCGCAAGTCCCGACCTTTCAAGATGACTAATTTCTTTTATTGTTGCCATTACAAGATATGACAAAGGCAAACATCCAAATTAACACTAATACCATTACAAAGCTGCGAGAGACGGAGAGAGTAAGCGTTTGAAGGTTTTAAGATGAGTCATTTCTCTTCTTTTTTCTCGAGAAAAAACAATTTTCGACTCCTACAAAGTACGCCCTTGGGTTTTTTGCCATTAAAAGAAATGAAAAAACCAAACATCACTGAGCATTCCAGTAATTCTTAAACTGGCACAAATTTCCCAAGAAATAAGGCATACTCATAACCCGATCAACAACATTTGAAGAGTCATTAACCGTGCCCCAGTCCACACGTAAGCACCCAAAGAAACCAGACACGGGGAGAACTACCAAAGTACCTGCAAGTGAGCAAACTCTTGACCGATACTGTACGGCGTCTGAAGCTTCTTCGTGAGGATGGTCAGCGCTTCGGAGCAGTGCTTGACCTGATCAGGGGTGAGAGAGATTTTCTGGGGGGAATCGGGGGAGAATTCCAACGGTTTGTGAGAGAAAGCAGAGGAAGACGTAGAAATGGAATTCCCGGATGAAGCAGCAGCCATGGCGGATCTCTTGTGCGCGCGGGAGCGGGTTGAGCTGAGATTCCCCAGTTGCGTCGATCAGAGAGACAGAGAGAGACAGAGAGCGAGAGCAAGTGGGATTCGTTGAGGTTTTGAGGCGCAGTTGGTGGTGGTGGTAATATGGTGGAGGCGACCTTATGGTCGCTTTGGGACTGGCTTCTCTCCGTTCAGCATTCGTCTGCTGGCCCCACACCTTCATGGTGTGCCCCACCTTGGCGGGACCTTTTTTCTGCTCATCACAGCTTTATTATATTATGACTAAATATTCATGCACAGATGTAGTAGTTAAATTATTTTTCTCCATGTGTCTTTTAACTAAAAATTCATGCACAGATGTAGTAATTAATTATTTTTTCTCCATGTGTCTTTTAACTAAAATTAATTAATAATAATTTGTAGGGAAAATTGCAAAAAAGACCTTGGAATTGCAAAAACGCAGATAGGGACCCTTGACAACTTCACTATGGGTTTTGACAACTTCAGGGCATATTATTCTTGTCAAAACCCATAGTGAAGTTGTCAAGGGTCCCTATCTGCGTTTTTGCAATTCCAAGGTCTTTTTTTGCAATTTCCCCTAATTTGTATTTAATTATATTTTTGCTTCGCACAAAACCTAGGTGAAGTTAATTAAGTCAATTCCAGCAATAAATAATAATAATTAGATCCGTTAGGTATAGGTAGCCAATTACGGTACATCAATCAATTAGTTTAACAGATAACCACTCTTTTTTTTTTTTTTTAACCAGCAACGGATAACCACTTAATCTCAAACCTGTGTGTATAATAGTGCTGTGGACTTTGAGCAAGCAAGCAAAGAAACATCCACGAGAGAATAGAATTTTCTAATGTGATGTAATACCTCCTATCCTAATTATAAGAACTAGTTGATTAATTTGAAGAGAATAAAAAAATAAGTTAAATTAGTTATTTATAATAAATAGGTGTTGTCTTTCCCAAAATATCCTTGCTACTCAAGTTTATTTATTGGAACTATTATTATTAGAGGGACTATTTTAGAAAAGAATGCATAAATATGAGAAACAAAATAGATTGAGGTCTTATAATTACGATCAAAACAAAAGTCAAACAAGGTCTTATATTAAGAAGCGAAGGTAGTATTTTCTAAAGTCTCCGCTCAAAATAAAAATGTCCGCGCCTTTCCCTAATTTTTTTTCACTCATAACGTCAGTTTAACAGTGGGTTCTGGTGTTAAGTGGTGATCTGTTAAACCAATTCATATGACAGAATCTCATTAGCTACGTACTACTTCATCCCTAATTATAAGAATTTTTTTTGTCAAATTACGCTTTTTAAGAAAACAGTTAAAATTAATAATATGTAACAAATGTAAGTTCTTTTCCAAATCCATACTAAATGTAAGAGAGTAATAATGAGATAAATAGAGAGAAAATGTAATATATGAAATTTATTAGGGGTAAAATAGCTAACAATGTATTAAATGTTCAGATAAACTCAAAAAAAACTTTATAAAAAGAGACAAATCCATTAAAAAAAAATACCAAAAGCACTGGTCTTGGCTTTATCATTTTATTTTTACTAGTTTTAATCACAAAATAAGAGAGATGATTAAAATTCCAGGACATGAGAACTACGAGATAGGACGGGACATGATAGGACAGCAACCAGGACGAGATACAGGATGGGGCCATCCCATCTTGTCTCGGAGTATTTTTTTTAATTATTTATTAATAATTATTATTAGATTATTTAATTCACTTATTAATAATTATTATTATTTTTATAGTGATTTTCAGCTCTTAAATTACGATATTATCTCAACAAAATCTTCTTTCTCAATAAAATAATTCATAAAGTCATTATATAGTGTTTCTTTTACAATTTTTTTTTACAATATTGTTTTTACACATTTTTATACTATATAATTGAGATTTCTACATACTTTTTTTATAATATTTTTATTTTTAGAAGCCCAATGAAAAATAAACATTATAACATAAAAAGATTTATACAAAAAATTATTTTTTTTTTGAAAAAAAGAAGGAAACGAGACATCCGATTCCTGTTTTGATTCTATCCCCGTCCCGACAGGACCGGGACAAAAGTAGGACGGAACTGGACATGGAACAAAATCACGTCCCGTCCCTGTTCACCAGGATGGGATCTAAACAGGCCTGTCCTGTCCTGGTCCCGTCTCGTTCTGTGAGCAACCTTAATTACATCAAAGTAAGGGACGAGTCCAAATAGTAACAGGGTTTGATAAATTTTTCGTGGCAATAGGCTTTGTTTTTTTTTTTTAATCAAAGGCTTAAGCATAGAGTGCAAATGTTTTTGTCTTCCCAACAAATATATTTTTCAAGATTTGAATTTGTATTCTCTTTTTTACGGAGATAAGACCACTTACCACCTCAATTGAGAAATTGTTAGTATAGGCTTTGTTATTTACATCAATTCACTATAAATTTTCCATGAAATAAATCTAAGAAACAAAGATAGATTCTTTTTAAAATTAAACTCTCTCCCCCCATATATATATATGTGATATTACTATCATCCTTTTATTTTATTTATAGGCCCTCATAAATTGTGAGTGGCATTTTCATTTTGTTAATCAATAAATGTATACATGAAATATTGAGCTACCTGTTTAAAAAAATTAATTATATAACTATTTATATATACTAACTTTTTTTTGGGTCCAAATTTATATGTACTAATTTTGATCTTTAATATAAGAACTCATTTAATTATGAGATTCTAATCTATTTTATCTCTCATATTTATTTATTTATTTAAAGTAGTCCTTGTAATAATGATAATTTTAGTCAATACACTTGATTAGCAAGGATATTTTATGAAAGATAATATTTATTTATTACAAATAACCAATTTAACTAGTTTTTTTAATTTATTTAAATTAGTCAACTAATTCTTATATTAAGAATAAGATATAATTTAATTAAAAATATCTTATAACAGACAACAAGAGTATATATAAATTAGTGGGAGAAACTTCAATGATAGGATTTGTCACCTACATCAATCTACTTTTGAATAGACATGAAAGAGGGAACCTTTTATTATTATTATTACTTCTCCAATTCTTAATATAAGATCCATTTAACTAATTTGATTAGATTAATGAAGTTAGGTAAATTAGTTAATTATAAGAAAAGTGACACATTTTTCCTAAAACACCATAATCATCTTCCTTAATACCCCATCTCCCTCTTTTACTTGATTATGGTTGATGGAGTATTCATAGGGGTAATTTAGAGAAAATTGATAAATATGAGAAAGTGTCTTATATTTAGGACCAAAACCAACTCAAGAATTGGGTCTTATATTAAGGACTGAAGGAGTATTATTATTATTATTATTATTATTATTATTATTATTATTATTCACTTGATAACTGAGAAGAGAGGTAACATCGTATTACTCGTGAATAAGGGTGCTTTACATTACAGGTCGTAGATTATCTCCTTTCCGAATTGGTGATAAGTAAAGTGATCTTAGGTTCGTACCCTCATCTCTCCGTTTTGCATGAGCTTGAAATAAATATTTTTATATTTGATCAGACAAAATTTTTTAGGGGAATTGTTATGAGTTGTCAATTAAAAAAATGATTGCTAAAAATTTTTGATGACAACTTAAAAACTATCATTTTATATAGGGTTAAAATCCTTAAATAACTTGAAATTATTTATAAATGAACACCCAATATCTGAAAGGTGTTTGACTCTCGTATATTTGAGAAGTTTTATTTCTTATCATCAATTCCTTGTTAAATTTGATCATTAAAATTAAGTAAAACTAGGTAATTTAATAGTCAAACTTAATAGTATAAGAGCTCAAAGAATTTTAAATGCTGGATGTTTCTTCATCTATATTTTCAGGATATTTAAATATCTCAACACTTTTATATATTAAGGCTTGTTATTACATATTATTCGGTCATCATTTGGATTTTCTAATAATTATAATCTTTAATCATAATTTTATACTACCTCCGGTCCTAAATATAAAAGCTAGTTAACTAATTTGAATATATTAAAGAAATAAGTTAAGTTAATTATTTATTATAAATAGGTGTTGTATTTCTAAAATATTCTCATTATATTGGTTAGAACTATTATTATTAGAAGGACTATCTTAGAAAAAATAATTAAATATGAGAGATAAAGCAGATTAGAGTCTTATATGTAGGACCAAAATAAAATTAAACCGGGTCTTATATTAAAGACCGAAAGTAGTAGTAATTATACCAAATTTTTTTCTTGTGTTATATAACATAAAATTACTTCTTCTTTTTTTTTTTCATCCCTAGTCCTTGATTCGATGAAAATTTTTAACTAGAGCTTTGGTTCCATGATGGAAAAACAATTTGAGAATCGTGATCCACAATCATTACACATATAATTATAAATTGCATTGTCACTGATTTTTCAAATTTTATTCAGATAAAAAAAAATGTAGAGTAACAGTAAACTACCCATCAAATTAAAGTACAACGGTTTGGGGAAAAAAAAAAAAAGTTGACGTGTAATTGAAGCAGGCGAAGATTGAACGGTGATCCTAAAACCCTAAATCTAAAGCCAAAACCTCCTTCAGGCTGCAGCGGACTTCGGTGTTCCTTGCGTGTGAGCGGAAACTGGAAGTCGCCATTGTTGCGTGAAATGTGGTTCGTCTTTCTCTCGTCGCAGTCCAAGTCTATTCTGAAAGAACACTCCTTATCCAAACACTGTCACCATCTGAACCAGCTAAGAAACTTGGTGGATGGTAGTGGCTCCATCAAATTGGTGCGGGATCGGGGTCTGGACCATGCCGTCGAGAAGGAGAAGAACCTCCTGCCATTGGTCAATCTCAAAAACTTCATCAAGGGGGAGCCTTCGAAGTCTATTCCCATCTCGGTTATAGTTGAGAACAGGGAGCGCCTCAAAATCCCTTATCGCCCCATCGATTTTATCCGACAATATCCTTCATTTTTTGAGGAATTTCTTCCTGGTGGAATTGGGATTCACCCTCATATCCGACTTACTTCTGAAGTTCTCACTCTCGATGCTGAAGAGCAGTTGATGTATCAGAGTGATAGTTATAAGCAACAGGTTGCGGATAGGCTTTTGAAGTTGTTGATGATATCAAGAATCCATAAAATCCCATTAACAATCATTGAACACTTGAAATGGGATGTGGGTCTTCCACAGGACTATATACATAGTATAATCCCTGAGTTTCCTGATTATTTTCGGGTTGTCGGTAGAAAAGACCACGCATTTGGTTCGGAGAATAAGCAGGCTTTGGAGCTGGTTTGTTGGAGCAATGAACTGGCAACTTCGGTTATGGAGAAGAAGTTTATGAATGGGGAAATGAATAATGCAGAGAGAAAGCCAATAGCGTTCCCTCTGCAATTCACTGCTGGTTTTGAGATGGATAAGAAGTATAAGAAGTGGTTGGATGACTGGCAGAAGTTGCCGTATATATCTCCGTATGAAAATGCGTCTTATCTTTTGCCTAAGAGTGACGAGTCTGACAAGTGGGTCGTCTCTGTTTTGCATGAAATTCTTCATATTTTAGTTCCAAAGAAGTCAGAAAAAGAAAATTTACTGCTTCTTGGAGAGTACCTGGGTCTCAGATCAAGATTTAAGAGAGCGCTGCTTCAACACCCGGGTATATTCTATCTGTCACATAAAATTGGAACCTACACTGTGGTTTTGAGAGAGGGTTACAAGAGGGGCTTTCTGATTGAGCGTCATCCATTGATGACTTTGAGAAGTCAGTATGTTCACCTCGTAAATACCACTGTGGAAGATAGCGATGCAGCTAAGGTCCAAGGCAAGAGCACCCAACAAGAATCGAAAGGCAAAAAGGTTGACGGGAAAGCAGAGCTTGTGTCGAACAGGGGGGAGGAACACAAAGAAGAGATATGTGAGTCCTCCAATGCCAAAGTTGAAGAGGCTAGTGACACTGATGATGTCGATAATGATGATGAAGAGCAGTCTCATAGGGTAAGTCGTAAAAACTCCGCCAATTATAGAGCTGGAATAGTCCAGAGAGTGAACTTAGATGTCAAGAAACCTTCGAGGAATTCTCGAAGGGAAAGTTCAGTTGGACGAATTCAACTTAAAACCATGAAAAGAACCCCAAAAGAAGTTTCAAGAAGAGAGCAAATGCATGGTAGACATAGAGATGATAAGAGTTCACAGCAGAGATCAAAATCACCAACAAGCAGAGCAAGGTTAACCAGCAAGAAAACCCCTACTTAGCAAAAATAAAGTCCGCTCCTGGAAACTAACACATAGGCGGGTTAGCAGTCTTGCCATTGATTCCCCTACTGTTGTAAGTTTTAAGGTTTACTTTAAACATTATACTATGTCTTACGGTTTGATTTTTTCTGGTATGTCAACTTTTTCCCGTACTATATAATCCTGCTGTTGATCATATGTTACACCACAGTGACAAAAAGTTATGTTCAGATACACTCATTTTGTCTTAAGGAATAGCAGCTTTTAATCATAGGGTTAAGGGTCATTTTGGCCTTGGAAGTATTCGTGAAGGAGCTGTCGGCATTCAAGGTTTCTTTTAGTAGCATTAAAAATGAACAATGTTGCTCTAACCATTGAAAAAATAATATTAACTATTGAAAAACTAATAGTGACCGCTAATATTTTTTAATGACAGGGGAGCATTGCTTCTTTTGTAATACTTCCGAGGTGATATTGAGTCAAAAAAAAAAAAAAACCTCTGGGGTGATATTGAGCCCAAAAAAACTTCTAGATACCTACAACTCATTCGCAAATACTTCTGGGTCAAAAATGACTCTTAACTCTTATTCATCTCTCAACTGCTGGGATAATATGGCTTGGAGATTGGATTGTCTCAGTCAATATGGCAGCCATATTGCCACTCTGCTAATCTATTTCTTCATTTTCCTGCAGTCAGAGAAGTTTGAAGGGCAATGTTACTTCATTTAATTTATGTGCTTGCTGTGTAATGCCAATATTTCTTAGAATGCTGGTTTAGAGCAATCTTTGAGGTAGAAAGCTCAATTTAGTTAGAGATCTGTTCAACTATGATTAATTTATTATATTCAGAATACAATCAAGAGGGTCCTCAATGAAGCATTAAGAGGAGATTATAACTTACCTTGTAATCCTTAGAATATTACTTTCAATGATGGTCTCCGAGAATTTTGAAAGTCTTGTATACAAATATGAATGTGTTGATTGTTGCTGTTTGCATATCACAAGGCAATATGAGCGGAGCAGAGAATGGAAAATGATTTGTATAGAAGGCTGGTGAGTTTGATTGCATTCTACTGATGTTTGTAAATGTTTGGATAAGATGTTACAAAAAAGATGCCAAACACCGCTAGTGAGTTTTCTTCTTGTCAAGTAAACTGGTAATTCGAGTAATTTATCAATTCACAGATAGTGTATCCTCCATTGTTACTCAGTTCTTCATTTTTTTTTTTCATTTATCTACTGGGATATGATGCTCACTGTGTGCATAGTTACACCGAGGAAATGATCATTGAAGATATGAGAATTTTATTATATATGTATAGGTATGTATGTATCCTCAAGGATTGAAGGTATCTTTCCCAAGACAGGATTTTACACGATTGGTGCGAGCAGTTTCTCACAATTTATCTCAAATGGATAGGACATGTGCAGTGTCATTGTTAGAAATTCTAGTAGCGGAATCTTAGAGGAATAGTGGGGAATACTGCTAATGACGTGTATTGAAGTTGAACAAATTCATGGAATGCAATGAGGAGAAGTATCGAATGCACGATACGCAAGACTCTAATACTGCGAGGCCTTGTGGAGCTCCTAACGCAGCCTTCTTGTTTTAAATCCAATTGCGATGGGTTTTTTTTTTTTGGGAATTTGTAGTGTGAGGGTGTATGTGTACATAAATAGTATTGATAAGCCTGAAGACTATTTTGTTGGAAGCGGGCCTAAGTCTCAAGCCCACTTAACCCTAATTTACTCTTCTACCTTAGTGCAGCAGCCGCAAGATTTCACTCTAATATTCTTTCAATTAGTTTTTTATTGTTGTATTATCTTAGGGATATTAGATTATTATTTCGAGTTTTATCTTGCATTTTTTTATTGCGATAGATACGATTTGATATGGGAAGCTCTCTCCCTCTCCTATATGTATCGGTTTCTTGAATGAATAAAATGCATAGGGCTGCGTTTTTCACATATTTAAACGTTAATGATCATGCATGTTGCTTCTCATTTGGGGTTTCATTAAATTTAGAGGTGTTTCCAGGTTACTTGTTTCCTTCCATTATGGTTCTGCAACATTACCTTTTGCAAACTGAACATTTCTCTTTACTAGCTTTTAAAATGGTAAAAGCATCCCAAAAAAGAAAAATTGATGTGGAGTTAAAATAACACTGGGAGCCTGCTACAAGTGGCTGGTTAACTGGTTCCCAAGTTTATCGTCAACCATCCATCTGAGGTTTTATTTTTAGCCCTAATTATATGTTGGTGGAAACTCGGATTCCATGTTCCTGCAAATAGAGGGCATCGTTAATTTTGCAAATAAAAGTTGGTTCGCTTGGTAAAAAATTGGTCCATACCCCATAACAGTATGAGTTTAAATTCAGCTGTCAATATAAAGATCTTATCGGTGGGATTTATTGCTACTTCTATATAATTTTCTTGACCAGTGTGCTCTACTCTAACCCTGACAAGCCTGTAGGATTCTTTTTTTTTTTTTTTGGGTGGGGGTTGGTTTGGGGCATATTCTTAGCTTGGGTAGCACGATGTGCTATCAGAGGTGATTGAATTTGTGACCTTATCTACCCTCTTGTACTTTGAGGACAATTCTGTTGTGTATTCTTGTGCCTGAGCAATATTAATAGTGCTTAATATTCTACCACAACAGCAACAAGTTCTACTAAGTAAAGTCAACTACGTAGGTGGCACGGCTCTATTGTACTTAATGTTCTACCAAGATTGAATCCTTATGGAACTTTACCCTTTAAGAGGAATAGACATTTTTCCCTTTGTATTTATGCATCTATAGTCAGTCTTGCATCTTTATAATCGCCCAAACAGTTTTTTTCCCTGATGCATGCCCAAGCATTTTCTATAGCGGCAAATGATATCCGTGCCATGGCATAGGGAGCCCTGCTCAAAAGTCTTGCACCAAAGTTTGAGACCATATGCCTATCTCCTGTAGTTTTGTAGCATGAAGACTCTTTTGAAAAAGGAAGGTCACGGGTTTGACCCACTTATAACTTTAGGCTGATGGTACCGAATCCTCTAATTTAAAAAAAAAAAAAAAAAAAGGGTTTGAGGGTGGTGGAGGAGGACAACGAAAATGTCCTAACATGAGATTATTGGAATATAATTCTGGACTAGATTTATAGAGAAGCTAACAAATATACAAATTGACTTGTTAGACCTGTGCAAGATAGCGATGTTTATTTTTGTGATATGCATAAAAAAGGGACTTGGAGTTGGCTAATTGGTTTGGATAGATGAATGCCACGTTATCGTCTATGGGGCTTTCTTGTTCTGTTTGTCCTTTTTTTGTATGGTGTTGCCCTAATCTTTTTATTGCAAAGTGGGCTTAGTTTTTTAAAGAGCATTTCATTAAAGCAAAAGAAGATACCTTTGAAAAAGGACTAGTCTCAAACAAAGTCTGAAAACTGCATCACCATGACATTGCTCTTTTATGTTTTTGAAGAAGAAAGGTTGAGGCAGAATCAACTAACTGGTGCCAACAAACGATTGCACTGTGCTTTTGAGAGAGCATGTCTGGGAAGATGGAAAATGACAACATAGCTTGTCTTGTGGTAACGAGGCTTCCATGCCCCCGTACACGTTGGAGCCTCCCCACAAATCTGCTTTCTTGGAGGTGGATTTTGATAATCATGACAAAAAAAGCCACCAGCCCACCTGTGCAGTTGTGCTGCAGTGTATCTCTGCCTCGTGTCTGTGTGGAGCCATATTTGTACAAACATGTTTCATACAAATGGAAATAAAAGTAGGAAAAATTTCCTGTTGAAAATTTTATTAGCAAAAAAGACAAGATAGAAGTATTGCTACTCTATAAATTTTGTACACACATACTACCTCTGTTTCTTATTATAAGAGTTTGTTTAACTTTTAATTTGGTTTTAAATATAAGATCCCAATTCACTTTGTTTTTCATATTTATTGATTTTTTTTCAAAGTAGTCCTTAAAGTGGTTACATATATGAAAGGTTTCATGAAATGCTAGCTCTAAATAATACACATGATTAACAAGGATATTTTAGGAAAGACAACACCTATTTATAACAAATAACTAGCTTAATTAATTTCTTTAATCTCCCCAAATTAGTCAACTAGGTTTTATAATAAGTACCAGAGGTAGTATGATATTGTGATTTAGGTCATAATCACTAATAAAATCTTTAATAGGATATTTGTTCCTAGTTTTTCCAAATTTTTACTACTCCTCTTGTACTTAATATAAGACCTAATTGTTGAGTTGATTTTGGTCCTAAATATAAGACATATTTATCATATTTATCAATTTTTTCTAAATTACCCTTATAGATATTCCCTCAACTATAATCAAGTAGAAGAGGGAGTGGGAATGTTAAGGAAGATAATTATGGTATTTTGGGAAAAACATATCATATTTTTTATAATTAACTAACTTATCTAATTTTTTTTAATATAATCAAATTATTTAAATAGGTCTTATATTAAGAACCGGAGGAGTGTCTATTTGTGCGTCTGCTCCTTACCTTTACAGAATTTACAATAGTATTAATTAGTAATCAAAGGCATAAATTGGATGTCCAGGCCAAGCCAGCACCAAGCTAAGGTTGGTTTAGTAATTAAATAACTATTTTTTTATCTTAAAAATAAGAATTAATTGGATTTACTAATCACAACTATATTTCACCAGATCCCAAATGTATTTCCTTAAAAAAATTAGTGGAATCAAAAGTAACACTCTTCAAACTCACAATTATGCATTATTTTTTATATAATAAATACTAAAAATAATTTTTAAATTATTTTTGCATCACCTCGGCCTAGGGTCTTTTGACCTAGTTGAATTAGGCTTAATCTGATCATTTTTTGGCTTTTGGTCTTGCTCAGCAAAGTCCAAAATAACTAGTCAACATTGAGTTCACCGAGTTGACCAAGCTTAGGAGCCCCATTATTAATTAATTAATTAATTATACCTACAAAGTACAAACTGTTTGTGGGCCAATATTATACTTTGTGATTGTAACCTTAAGATTTTTAATTCACTTATAAACCTAAAACTTGTTATCCAATATTTGGTATTTAGTGAATGATCTTATGATTAATGGAATATGTCCCACCTTTTGTTGTGAAAGGTCATGGGTTCGTTCATCATATATTTAGTGTTTTTAAGAGGACAAAATACGTTTTGAACTCAAAAAGGGAGGATAAGATTGATATATTCTGAATGAGCTAATAGATATTGTGCTGTAATTATTTTTTAATATAAATAGTAAAAAAATAATCATGCATAATTTTGTTTGTTATGTTTGTTCTTTGGTTGGAGAAAAATTATAATTTCGATACTTAATATGAGAGTTATTTAATTAATTTGGGTAGATTAAAAAAACAAGATAAATTAATTATAACAAAGGTGACTTGATCTCCTTAAAATACCCTTATGCAACATTAGATTGTATACCAATTTATAAGTTAAACAAATTTATTTGGAAAAAAATGATAAATATAAGAGACAACATAAATTAAGGTCTTGTATTCAAGATCAGATTCAATTTGTAGTTAACTTTTAGATTAAGAACAAGTAGTAATAAACAACTCCAAAACCCTAAAAAATGTCAAGGCCTGAAACAATTGTTTAAATCTAAAAGTTAATTAGTTTTATCAATCCAGTTTAATGAGTTTACAAACATCCAAAAATACCAAAAGTGAAAGAAAGTGAAATGTATTTGCAGAAAGGGAAGATTTGAAATCTTATAAAATAGTTCTCTCTCTCTTACACCTCTTATACAAAGCCCCTTATTAGGCATTTTGTCTCCTTATCACCCAACCATTTCAACCCTTTCATTGCTTGTGTGGGTCCTATCCCTCCCCCTCTCTTCCTGCATTCCATGTGGGGTTTCCCAATTTTCCCCCCATCTTTTAAGAATTGATATGAGGGGTAATGTCTCAAGGTTTACACAGTCCAAAACACAGCTCCCTACAAATTAAACGCTCAAGATTTGCTTGGCATATGAAGCAATCATTTGAAGAAAGAAAAGAGTAAGATGTATTTTTATTGTGTTTTGAAAAGTAAATGGCTCCTTTGAGGACATTTTGAAAACGATACAGAAAAGATTAACATACTCTTATATAAAGATGACATACGCAAATTGTGAAATAGCTCAAAAATTAAATAATAAAGTGATTTAAATTTTTAAAGAGGTGAGAAGAGAGAAAAATCTAATGACATCATATTCCTTTGCTTATAAAACAAAGTAACTCAAATAGAAAGAAAGCTTTTAATGGTTATGAGAGATAACATTTACATTTTCATCAATTTTTCCTTCTACAACAATCAAATGACACCCAATGCCTCCTTTAAAACAGGTTGTAAGTTCAAATCTTTTGTAAAAAAAATAATAAGTACGTGAGTCATGACAAAATAAAACATATACAATCCAAGTTTACGACTAAAATGTAGTTAGGGAATTGATTTGGATGTAGAAAATTACTTTGAAAAATGTAATTCTCATTGCAACAAAATAAACGCTGAAAAATTTATTTTTGAAATATAATATGTGGTTTTAAGAATTATTATCTTCTATTTTTATGAGAAGTAAAACAAAATCAAACCATGTGCCGTGCAAACACAAAAGGGCAAAAAGACAAGGCAATGTAAAAGAAATGCACTGGTTTAGGTGCAGTGACAGCTTTGAAACACAATGCTGCATTTGTGAGATCTCTGAAGCACTTATCAATATTTGGCAAATTTGACCAGAGACCCACATTCCCCTCACAAACCTGATATGCTTTCCCTCACATGTCCCAACATGCAAAAGCCACTTTTACCAACCAAAATTTTGGGCCATCTCCAATACTATGTAATAGCAAGTAAAGATTCAACACTTTTTACACAGAATTCTGGCACTTTCCTACCAGCCAAACACACCCCCACTTCATTCCCCATCAACAACATCAATCAAACTAACTAGAGAAAGAAACCAACCCTTCTCTCCTAACACACCTCTTCTTTATTCCCATTCCCTTTCACCAAAAACTGCTTGGTTTCTCCATCTTTCTCATCACTCACATCTTTAGCTTTAAGCTCGAGCCCTGGGTCGAGCCCGTTGCAGCTACTTATCTTGGCCTCAGTGAGCTTCTCGGCCCTTAGTGCCTCACCTTCCCAATCCGTACGTGCTAGGACAACATACAAAATCGACACCGCGCATGCCACTTGGGCGGACAAGAGCCCAATCCAAAGCCCGCTAAACCCGATGTTGAACCAAAAGGCCAAGCCCACAGCCACAGGGGTACCCACAAAGTAGAATGAGCCGAGGTTGATGTGGGCCCCAATGACGGGCCGGGCAGTGCCACGGAGAATGCCACAACCCGTTGTTTGTGGGCAATTTCCAAGCTCACAGAGACCCATAATTGGCATCACCGAGGCAACTAGGGCTTTGACGAACTCGTCTTTGGTGAAAAACCCGGCCCATATCTTCCTAAGAATCACCGTCCACGTCACGTTTATAAAGCCCATCACAAATGCACATCCCAAAGCAACCATAGCTGCAAGCTTGGCCTTGTAGGGCTTACCAGCTCCAAGCTCATTCCCCACCTACAGGAGTGCAAAATCAAAACTTTAATTTGCTTTCTATGATGAAAATGGAAATATGATATCAAATATGGCAATGGGGCCCACGGGCCTAGTGGGCTGCTCTACCAATATGATGAATCAAGGATTTGGCAGAATTGATGGGCTTAGGCATAATGCTAAAGTGTGATCAATTTGTGGTACTTCTGTGGAGTCACGTTACAGGTGTGACCCAACCGGGTCCCTGTACTTGACGCAATCACATAACAAATTCAAACCTCAGCAATTAAAAACCAAAATAAAATTTGGCGTTTTAGCCCAAGAACAAGGACTGAGAAGATAAAAGCAGTAGGTTTTCTGGGCCAAAACAGAGTTAATAAATTTCCACACGTAACATTACAATCTTAAATCAAACCAATCAAAACAATTACAAAGGGACATGTTCATTTATCCAAATCAGTGAGATTTGTTAAGCCACAATTAGCTTGCCACACAATCACAAGTCACTTTCAAAGTTTTATCCTATTCTGGTTTTAGGCCTGTGATTAACAAGAGCGTTTAAAAGTTGTGTCACGGGTCAAAAATAGGGCAAAAATTACATTTTAAGAACCTGTTCAAAAAATATTTCAAAATACAAACTTAATTCTTTTTTAAGAAAAATTTCAACTTTGAAGTTCTAAATCCAAAATAAAATAAAATAAAATCAGTCACAGGTGACAGATAAAATCAGAACTTAAAATAGAAACACGTGCATCAGTGTCATCTTCATTGAACCTAATCTCTTAAATCTGAGAGTTCAAATTGAATGCAAAATATCCTCCAACATACTCAGACGACAAAAATTTAATGTCATCCCAAAAGATTCAACTTAGTCCACTAAGGTTAGACAATTATCAACATTATCTTAAGAATATAAACTCTAAATAGCCCATAGCGCAATTCTTTAAAAATTTAGAAGCACAGACACTAACCACTTAAATCTGCAGACGTGATCAAACCTACGACCTCCTACCTTTCAGGCAATCAAAAGTTCAAGTGATTCAGGTCCCGGTGACTCACCAGGACTAGAACAACCTCCTACTTATGAGAGAAATATCGTTTACATAATGTAGAGCCACACCTGCATATCTCCTTCTCTAAGTGTATAAACAAAATTATAGAAGCTAAATAATTTTTTATTATTATTTATTTATTTAAATTACATTAGATAAAGTTGATCTCATCTGCAAGCACAGAACACACAAGTTGCAACACGTGCATTGTATATTTTCACACTGAACACATATTATATGAATTTAGGGAGGAAAAAAAAAAAAAAAGTAAGGCAGATACATTGTTTTATTCATGAATGCTCCCTCCATTTTGTACAAATTGATCTCTTATCCAATCATTCAATTCCCCATTACATGCATGCTACCTACCAATGCATGAATAAAAGATATCTCTTATAATCTATTAACATGAAAGCTCGATCATAGGTTCTCACTCACTCTCATAATATATTATCGAGTCAAATTCGAACATTGTCAGATATGTTTCATAATCCATTAACATAAAAACTCTCCATGAATAAGAGAACTTCCTCTCACTCTTGTAGTATATTATCGAGTTAAATTCAAGCATTGTTAGATATGTCTCGTAATCTATTAACATGAAAACTCTCCATGAATAAGAGAACTTCCTCTCACTCTTGTAGTATATTATCGAGTTAAATTCAAGCATTGTTAGATATGTCTCGTAATCTATTAACATGAAAACTCTCCATGAATAAGAGAACTTCCTCTCACTCTTGTAGTATATTATCGAGTTAAATTCAAGCATTGTTAGATATGTCTCGTAATCTATTAACATGAAAACTCTCCATGAATAAGAGAACTTCCTCTCACTCTTGTAGTATATTATCGAGTTAAATTCAAGCATTGTTAGATATGTCTCGTAATCTATTAACATGAAAACTCTCCATGAATAAGAGAACTTCCTCTCACTCTTGTAGTATATTATCGAGTTAAATTCAAGCATTGTTAGATATGTCTCGTAATCTATTAACATGAAAACTCTCCATGAATAAGAGAACTTCCTCTCACTCTTGTAGTATATTATCGAGTTAAATTCAAGCATTGTTAGATATGTCTCGTAATCTATTAACATGAAAACTCTCCATGAATAAGAGAACTTCCTCTCACTCCTATAGTATATTATCGAGCTAAATTTGAGCATTGTCGGATATGTCTCATAATCTATTAACATGAAAACTCTCTGTGAATAAGAGAACTTCCTCTCACTCTTATGGTATATTATCGAGTTAAATTCAAGCATTGTCGGATATGTCTCATAATCTATTAAAATGAAAACTCTCCCTGAATAAGAGAACTTCCTCTCACTCTTATGGTATATTATAAGAGTTAAATACGAGCATTGTTGGATATAGTTAATACAAGATGATTTTTTTCCCCCATCAAGAAGGTTTAAATACGGGTGGAGTCAGCTTCCATTTCACGTAACTAATTAATTCATTCTTATATTATTTATGGGGAGGGAATAAATTGGTAAAGAAGGAAAAGAGAATAAAGAAAAAGGAATAGGATGATAATAATATTGGGAAAGTGAGTGATTACCCTGGCAGAGACGCAGCCTGCGAGAGCCATGGGGACAGTGTACATCATGCTAGTGGTTTGAATCAATATGCCGGTCGCCGCCACGGCCACCGTCGGATTCTGCAGGTACCCCGCCAGCACCGTCACGATCTCGTACCACCACCACTCTAAGCATATCCCTAAACAGCTCGGAACCGCCACCTTTATCAGCTCCCACCACCCTTCCTCCACCACTTCCCACCCCCACATCCACCTCATCCCTCTCTCCTTCTTCCTCCACAACAACACGTACGCCGCCATAAGCACCACCATGTTCAGATTCGTCACCACCGACGCCGTCGCCACCCCCGCCACCCCCCGCCGCACCAGCCAGAAGTTTAACGGCACGTGGAATATCACCGCGATCAGGGAACAGAACATCATCGGCTTCGCCACCTGCTGCGACCGGAGATATACTCTTAGTGGTTGCAACAAGGTGTTTGTTAAAAGGTCTGGGAGAGAGTAGAAACAGTAAATCCCTGCCATTGCCGTAATTTCTCTGTCTTGGCCCATGAAATTCATGATGTTCTCGAGGTTTAACCAGAGCAGGCTTATGGGTATGCTGGCCATGAGGAGGATGAAGACCATACGTTGAAGAGAGAGAGAAAGGAGGTCCCATTTCTTGCCTCCATAGGCCTGTGAACATACTGGTTCGAGCCCTGAGGCTAGACCCGCCAGAACAGAGTAGCCTGTGATGTTCGTGAACCCTATGGACAGTGCGCCTCCGGCGAGCTCCAGTTTCCCCAGCCGACCCAAAAACAGAACCGACACGACGGCTCGAACGAACACTAGCATGTTCATGGCGGTTATGGGTAACACCATACTCCATAGCTCTTTAAGCTCTTCGACAATCTGATTACAGCACAAATATTAATATTATTCATAAAAAAAGAAGACGATACGAGGAAGAAGAGGAAGGAGAAGATCATTACTGTGTAGAGGTAAAAAACAGACCATACCTGAGACATGGATGGGAATTTGTGGGATGAAAAATCTGGGTTTTCATCTTCCATGCTTTGTGTTTCAATGAAGAAGGAAAACCAGAGAGCGTTCTGTGAAAAAGAATACTGAATCAAACAGTGAAGATGATGAGAGAAGAACCCAAAAAAATAGTGTGACAAGGTTTCCTTTTTTTTTTTTCCTTTTTTTCTTTTTGCCTTTTCACAAAGCCATAACAATGAACATATTGCGATGATGCTAAAAGACTGACCTTGACTTCCTTTTCTGCTTCTCCTAAAACTCGCGAGGCAAAAGAAACTTCAAAAGAGATTTTCCTCAGTGATTTCAAAAGGGAAATACAGACACTAAAGCAGGTATATATATTTGCTTTCCCCACAAACACAACACACAATAGATACGTGTGAAGCCTATAAGGGGATATTATGAGGGAGAAAGATGAAAATGGCAGAGAAAAAGCAAAACACAGAAGAGAGAAAAATAAAAACTCGGGGAAGCAGCGGCGTGGGAAGAGGCAGAGGGCATGGCAGGGAGAAGAGAAAAAGGAAAGTGATGATGTGTGAAGAAGGAAAGGGACAGGAAGAGAGGGAGAGGCTGATGGGTTTAAAACTTTTTCATTATTGCCGCAGCAAAAGGGAAGGTTTTTGAGGGGATAAAAAGGAAAGGGCTACACAGAGAAAAGAGAGAAAACACAAGCAGTGAGAGGCAAGGGTCGGTTGGCGTGGATTGGTCTTTTCAAGTATCATAAACGAAACGTTACTCACTCTCTAGTTGTGTTTGGACTGTGGCTGTGAACGAATTGGCTAGCTGGTTGCTTATCAACTATCGGTGCCGTTTACCCATTGCATTTCTCTTGGTAAAAGCAGTTTCAGCCACTTGAATACAAAGTTTTAACTTTGAAAAAGGGGAGGAAAAAAAAAAAAGCCTTTAATTCAAAGAGCTATTCCTATTTGTGTTTGACAATATTCAATTCTAACTCGATCATCAGGGTAAAAAATCGTGGATGTGATTTTTTTTTTAAAATTCATTTAGAAGGTAGTCATTGACAGCAACGATTATAAATGTGATCAATTCTACCGCTTTTTACGGATAAGAAAGCTTTCATGCTATTAAATTATAAGGTAAGTGGCATATAAATGTGAATTCTAGCTTGTTCTTGTTAACAAGGAGGTAAAATTGGGCGAAAGAGTAGTTTAAAGGCTGCAAAAGAAGAGTTCAATGCTGGCAAAAAAAAAAAAAAAGGAGTTCAAAGGCCAAATAGCACCTCACAGAGCTGGTAAGCGACTGGGGGAAGGGTGAGGGTGAGGGTGAGCTTAATGGATGCTCTCAAGTTAAAAGCTTTGTGTTATGATTGGAACCGGTTTCAATACTCAGTATCTTAAGCTTTGTTTGGTTCAACAGAAGAAAGGAGAGGGGAGGTTAATTAAAGGAAAGAGAGGGGAGAGGAAGGAAGGCCATGGTTTTGTTTGGTTGGAGGGGACGGGAAGGGGGAGAGATTTCTTGTTTGTTTCATAAGAGGAGGAGAGGGGAGGTAATTATAAATTGACAAATATACCCTTATCTCTATATTTAGACTAATTTATTTTTTTATTACAATATTTATGTCAAAATTATTATTTCTTAATTTATCAATTTAAAAAAAACCAATTACCTCACTTACATGTGATAAAAAAATGATAAAACTAAAAAAATTAGAAAATATGATTAAAAAATTTAATATTCTATCTCATTAATTTTATAAATATATCATATATATGTATTAATATATATGATATGTATATATTATATAATTATAACACGCACGTTATGATATGTATATATTAATATATGCATGTTATCTGAGATTATAATACACACGCTATGATATATAATTATAATACACACATATTATGATATGTATATATTAATATATATGATATGTATATATTATAATATTATAATTATCAAATATTATTAGTGGCTAAAAAGAAAAAGAAGTGAAAAAAAGATTTTTAATAAGACAGACAAACTTAGAATATTGAAAAGTTAGTATGGATAATTTGGTCAATATTAGACATAATATTTCTCTCCCCTTAAAAAAAACCCAAATTTGGAGAGGAGCATGGAGAGGGGAGGGGAGCACTAAAAGACAAATTTCTTCCCTCCCCTCCCTTCTATTTTTCCCAACCAAACAGAGCCTTAATAAACACCCTAAACTCATTAGACTTGGATCATTTATATTTAATTTGAATGGTTTAAATTTAAAATATTTAAGTAATTATTTTTAAATAAAAAACCATTTTTACAAAAAATGATAGTTAAGATATTATCTCTATTTTAGATTCTATACATATTAAAATAATTGTTTTGAATAAATAAAAAATCAAATCTAGAATATCCAAATAAGATATGGATGATTTAGATATGATAAGTTTAGAATGCTCATTAAGGTGATGAGTACTGAAACTGGTTCTGTTATGATTAAGTCAAAAAGTTCTATTGCTTGTATGGTTTTTTATTTTTTATTAAAACATAGGTATCCTCCTATTCGAAGTACTATCAGGCACTAAATGTGGGCACTTCTATCAGCGGGGATACTTTTATGATTTTGAAAGCATGTTTAGCTTCGACATTAGAAAAGGCTAATTACTTGTTTTTATTAAAATTAAAATTGCATTTTAAAACTATGTTTAATTTAATTTAAGTATTTACTAAAACTAAAAAAATTATTAAAAATATTAAAAAAAAATAATATCAAGACATTGTAAATTTAAAGCTCATTCTTTGGTGACAAGCACCGAAGCCGAGAAAATGAAAATTGGATCGGTTGTTAAATTCCTCCCCATGTAGTTCAAGGACTTGTTCTCCAACAATGGTTGAATCTAGATTAATCTAATCATAATTACAATAATATAACTTAATTAAAATATATAAAAATATTCATATATAGCTGTAAAAAAAGCAATACTCAAATAAAAAGATATTAATGCATAGATAAATTGAAATTCATGTATAAAAGGTACAAATATGATATAACGCTATTTTTTAACTCAGAATCACATCATTTCAGGCACACCAAGAGAAGCAGAGACTGTAAAATTCAATTTGGACAACTCGCTCAAAACTCGGCCATACTATTTATGAAACTATGTCACTAGCTACTTTGATCTAATAACCTGAATCAAGTTCTAATACTATGAACAAATCATTCTAATTTTTAGCCAATGGATAATTTGACAAAATCTCATTTTAGTTTTAATTCTTTAAATTTGTTTTCATTTTACTTTTTAGATTCACTTAACAAAATATCCGTACATTGTATGAGATACATATTGAGAAGAATTTCATTTGATAAAGTACAAAATTTATAAGTGAATTCCAAGGTTATCAACTTATCATTAATTATTTCTCTTCATTCTTTTAAGTTTTTGGTTCGGTTCAATGGATGAACGACAATCATAATGTTATTGTAAGGATTGTACATGGGCATCAATCGACAGTACTCAAACATGTTTGTTTCAGATATCAAAACAATGATTATTCAAAACAATAATCCCACAATTTAGGCTCTCACTTCAAAACTCTTATCATCACTTCTCTTTGTGGCCATTATACGCCCATTGGTTTCATAGTGCATTCTAGCATGTGTGTGTCTATATATATTCATATGCAGCAAAAATATAGGAGTTACTTAATTATTAATGAGTTAAGATGCAAATTTGGTGCGTAAGTTTTTACTTAAAAGTATTGGATACTTAGAAGCTTTTTTGGATGTATATCTGTGTCAAAAGTTTAAAATCGTATCAATATTTTTTACTGAAGTTAAAAATGTTAACAGTCAATATTGCTATTTTAATGATCAAAATTAGTTTTTTAATGGTAAGAAAATTTGTACCTTATAATAAACATGAAGAAAAAAAGAGTTAAAGTCTTATATTTAATATCAAAATTTGCACTTAACTAGCACCCACATGGATGGGAGGAGTGTATAAAAATACAAGTAACACTCATTAATATATGAGCTATTTAATTATTAATTTAAATAAATTAATAAATTAATATAAATTACTTTATTTTTTTGTAAATGTGAACTGATTTTTCTAAATATTTCCATATAACATTACATTATACTCCTCCGGTCCTTAATATAGGACCTAATTGTTAAGTTGGTTTTAATCCTAAATATAAGATCCATTTATCATATTTATTAATTTCTCTAAATTCCCCTTATGGATACTCCCTTAACCATAATTAAGTAGAAGAGGAAGATGAGGTATTAAAAAAGATGATTTTGGTATTTTAGAAAAAACGTGTCACATTTTTTATAATTAACTAACTTACCTAACTTCCTTAATCTAATTAAATTAGTTAAATGGGTCTTATATTAAGGACTAGAGGAGTATATAAGTTTATAAGTTAGATAGATTAATTAAAAATAAATAAATATGAGAAAAAATAAATTAAAGTCTTAGATTTCACACCAAAATTCACACCTAACTGGGCTCCTATGTTTAGGACATGGGAGGAGTGTATAAAAATATAAATAAGAAAGTTATTGGGAAAATATACACAATCTACTAAAGATGAATTAATTACTATTTTCAAATCTATAAAATATAAACCCTAGAATGAGTCTTGGTGTTTTTATATTTTATGTTTGGTATTAATTTTAATTTATAACAAGCAGTAGACTAGTAATAGTACTAGGATAGTTTATTTCTTAATTTATTTGTAATGTACGACTAAACATGTTTAATTAATAAATAGTACCTAAATAAAAAATGGGTTGTGGGTTCATTGTTGGAATATATTTAATTTTTCATTAGTAATCGCAATATGCTTTTTGCTTTTGATCACTATTATATACTATTATGTATTACTCCTCCAATTCTAAATATAAGACTCATTTTATAATATAATTTACGTTATATAATAAGTTTTATATTAAAGATTAGAGGAGTATTATCTTTTCTTTTCCCCATTGCACACTGCTAAGCAAAAGGAAATCATCAATGTTTTTTAAAATGTGGTTGAGGATTTAGTAACAAAAGCCAGAGCGAATATCAATCAAATTTGACTTTAAAAAAAAAAAAAGATTCTTCTTCTTTTTCTTTCAATTTTTTTGTGCCAAACCACGAGGGAGGAGGAATAGCAAATTAGTAGAGTTAATATAGGTTTTTTTCAATCACTGATGACCACTTGAATCGACTGGTAAGAATTGTTTTAACTTAATCAAAAGTCACAATTTTGATCCTTTAGGAAAACAACAATGTAAGTAGTAGGGTTGTCACCCATATAGGTCATATCATGACCCGATCTAGATTAGCCTAGTCTGTAATTATTTGAGGAGCTGGTCATGATACCAAGCGCATAAACCAAATAAATAAATAAATGAGTCTTTTCGGTTTTGCTTTGATAGTATCATAATCCCATTAATGCATAAAGAATTAATGAAACGGAAATTGATTTTTTTTTTTAAAGAAAAAGATTAGTATTTGATTGGATATGTTATTTTAGAATTACCCTCTAGTGGCCCAATTTATATCACTTGATTTGTTTTTTCCCCTGTTTTTGCCAACTACTTGATTAGCTT